TATGTTTATATTGTAATTCAAATTCTATTGAAAATGAAATGCACTTTCTTCTGGAAGGCCCTCTTTACAATAACCTCAGAAGAGATATGACTGATTATATAAAAAAAATACCCCAGTTTAGTTAATTTAAACAGAAATGATCTTTTTACATGGATCATGAGTAATGAAGATAGCAGTTTTTTTTTATCTATTTTATGTGCATAAATGCCTGCAACTTAGAAAATAAGAAAATTAGTTAAATACTCTAATAGATAGCAAAATTATCTCCCCTTGACCACTGACCCTTTCCTCATGCATTTGAACTATTATTTTATGTTTCTTTAATCACTCTGTAATGTTTATGTCATGTTGTTATTAATGTTATGCTCTTAATGGGCCCTTTAATTTGGAAAAATAAAAAAAAATAATATTGTATTGTATTGTATTGTATTGTATTGTATTGTACTCAGCTTGTCATGACCAATCTTACGACAAACCAAATGTCGGTTGTGATATAGAGATATAAAAGGTAATGTTATTGAGTCCTATGAAGTAGGTTACAAAACTGCAGATAATAATGTCTCAAATAGGAATTATTTCACATTATGTGATATAGAAATAGACCCCCTTAAGGAAACCATGTCTTCATTCTTTGGAAATATGAATATACGTAAGGATGTAAACATGCAAGCATGTCGATGATAGGTATTACAGTTAGCGTGTTGTTAAGATTACATGCTGTAGAATTACAAATAATAAATATGTTACTTAATATATATCATTGGAGAAAATACTGATATATAATAGGACTTTTAAGTTCAATTTCGTTTATAATTATAATTTCGTGATAAGGATCATTGTATCTTTATTATGTAAAATTCATGGAATACAGATAAACGCAGACTATCTACAGATTTTTCCGGGTTTCGTTTAAGTTTTAGGATTGAAATGCTCCCAAACGTTTATGAGCATTCTTAAATGGTGACACTACCAGTCCACCGGTTTAAAAAGATTTAACTAATAAGCTATTAAATCCAGACACCATTATATGGAAAAGTAGGGATCTGGTGTATTGATTCATAGCACAAAATCCCTCCAAGCATTTGACAAAAACATCCAAGCAAATTTAATGCGCACGTAGCTTCAGTTCGAATCCCACTAAAGGAACTATATAGAGTGCAAAAGTACAACTCTTATATTATATATGTGGCTTATTTCAAGGCGTTTAAAGTTACCGTTGTCACGGCTATCCAGTAGAAATTTGTTGTAGACTTGTCCAAAGAATCAAATTTTGTTGCTGTTATTTGATTGGGATGTAAAAAAGTTGCTGAAGCACATTTTGTATGAAATGCAGACGTGTACGCATGATAAACGCTTATATAGTCCTATAACATTACAAAAAAGCTACATATTCTTATAATACATGTTTGGACTAGACTATAATATTACGAATTGAATCAAGATTTTCGTTTGTTTTCCTATGTTGCATTTTATTGAGAAATAAAATATAATTTTGGAATGTCTAAAAATTAACATTGTCATCCGTATTTTGGTCTCTTAAGGGTAATAGTTTCGAAAAAAAATGAGAGGAGGAAAATTTCAATGTCCACTTTGAATTAAAAAAAAACTCATCAAAGATACCACCAGGCTTATAATTCTGTACAACAGACGCCGAGTTTCGTCTACAAGAAACTCATCAGTTACGCTCGAATAAAAAAAGTGAAAGGCCAAATAAAGTACGAAGTTGAAGAGCATTGAGGGTAAAAAATTCCGAAAGGTTTTGCCAAATACAGCTAAGCTTATCTATTCCTGGGGTAGAAAATCCTTAGTATTTCGAACAATTCAAAGTTTTGTGACAGTTAGTTTATAGATATGACAATATCAATGATAATTCATATCAACACAGAAGCGTTGATTACTGGGCTGGTGATACCTTAGGGGATTAAACCTCCACCTGCAGTGGCATCGACCCAGTGGTTGTAATAAAACTCATCAAAGATAACTTATATAATCAGTATCTGAATTTTTGCAATCGTATCTCAAAAATATGATCACCTGGTGCACGAATTAGTCAAACATAACTAACCCTTTGGGGTTTAGTGAGGCATAGAAATATGGTCATCCGGCCTGATTTCTCAAGTACGTCAGTAAAACCCTTGTTATAGTGGGGGTTTGGTTGGCACTTCGAATTCGTTATGTATAAATATGCAGCCACGTCAGATGGAAAACGGGACGTTAAATCCGATGCCTCGTGTAAGGGAAGGGCTCGTTGTACGTTATAGATACATTGCTGAAATATTTGCTGCTGAACTTAAGCATGCAACAATCAATCAATTAATCAAACAGAAGTCCTTGTTAAAAATAAATCTATCGAATGCAATGAAAGTGAAATGTGCAAATTTTATATCCTTAAATTTTAATTGCATTGATTATATATAAATAACAATTACATTGATCTTCACTTAAAGTATTGTCTGTCGGCATGGTAAATTAGGAGCATACATTAAAATCAATAATTACACTCATTCATGTTTTATTAAAGAATGCGACAGTTAAAACATTTTCATAAGATTAAATACCGAAGAAACAACAATCCAAATGTTACATGATTACATGTACTTAACGGCTCTTGCCAAACATCATCTGCTAAAAACTACAACATAATTCAGTGAGTATTTCCACATCATCAATTCATTGCAAGTGCAATATACCTTATTCACTTATTTTTTGTGCATTTCTTAACCATAAAACCTTTCTCTCCATTTAATATCTAATATAGTCAGACTTTTCCTTGGCCGTACAAAGCCTATTCTTTTCGCCATGATCTATTCTACTGGTTTTAGTAAAGGATAGTCTGGCTCTCTTTTGTTACATTTTCTCTCTCTTATATGATATTGACAAAACTGTGAATGCAAATCAAGACAAAATCGACTTTAGTGAATCAATTTATATAAAATTCCATGTCAGATCGGATCCTCGAATTCTCTAAATAACCAAAAAATGATGGTCACATTTAGACGCATTTGTCCGCGAGGGTATCATCAGCTCTATAATGAATGATTCGGTACTGACATGATTGATAAGGGTGGAAATAACGAAGAATGGTGGTCACATATAGACTCATAGTCCCCGAGGGTATCATCAGCTCTGCAATGAATGATTCGGTGCTGACATGATTGATAAGGAGTGGAAATAACGAAGAATGGTGGTCACATATAGACTCATAGTCCTCTAGGGTATCACCAGCTTTTCAATGAATGATTCGATACCGACATGATTGATAATGGGTGGACGGACAGAATAATGGACGAACGCACGAACAGATCAGAAACATAATGCCCGTCTACTGTAGTAGGAGGGGCATACAAATATAATAGAAATAAGAAGATGTGGTATGAGTGCCAATGAGACAACACTTCATAAGCCTGATATACTTGTTTTTTGTAAGCGTACACATGTAAATTAACTTAAAAGTGAATCAATATTTCAGTGTGTAAAAACTTGAAACAAAAGGCATTTGATATAACAAGTGATTTTTTTTTTGGGGGGGGGGGACAGTTATTATCATATTTCAGTTTTAAATAATGAAGTTGATAATTTTCTGGTATGTTTATATAAGGGACAGCCTACATGGAGACAATACTTGTTATAACAGTTAATTGCCGTCAACCTGAAGATATACGGTATTGCAGTAAGTTAACTGTAGTCTTCATGGCACGTCCGTCATGTATGATAACATGCCGTTAACAGTTGAGTATACACGAAGAAATCTTAGAAGTTGCGATATTGTTATTTGAATAAAAGGGATTGTGGGTTAAACGTCAATAAAACAGCAATCCAGCAGCACAAAAAATATACATCTAGCGGTTAACATACGATATTAAACAAAAACTAGAGACTATTTCTTTTGTCAAGCTGTAAGTTTGAAGACAAAGACTTCTAAGTGTATTTTCCATAAACCTAATTAGACCAACAGAACTCCGTTGCTCTCGTATAATAACAGTAAAAGGAATTGTAAGCACAAAAAGACATCACCTTTTAAACATTTTATAATATGGTAGTTAAGTTCGTTTTCAATATGGTTGATTAATTGCTTATTTCTTGCAAAACGACCAGTGACAAATACTTCATGCTTATTCCAAATAAATGAATAGAACAAGCGAGCCAACACTTTCCAACGTTAAGTGCATTTACTATTCAGTAACTAGGATATTGTTGTCCTTATACATTTGAATTAATGATAATAGGTAGGTCGACCCGGATAAAGGGCGGAAAATTTGGAGAAATGATGGTGTGTTGGACGGCAAAAGGCCACCTTCGTACTCCTCAGACATTTTTTGCAATAATTCTTTAACGTGCATCGAGTGTTGCTATCAGGTGCAACGGATTTAACGTCCCCATTCAGACCGGATATGGTATTTATACATCCAGCACAGCCTATCAGATGCCCACTTTAGCTAGGTTTACTGTAAGAGTAGAGAAGTCAAGGGATTACCATATTTCTATAACCCGTCAACTTTTGGGTACGTGTTCGATATTGGTGCATTATGTTGATCAAAATAGATTTCTAGTTAATAATGGTAATAAATTATAATACCGTCAGCACGTGGATTAACATGAATATGGAAACGACTATTTCAGGTGTGAACAAAGATATGGTACAAGGAAGCTAAGATACGTGTAACAATACTGAGTGACCTGTCTTTACACCAAATCCGTTAGATGTGAATTCGTCTTATGAACTTTAATGTATAGTGGCCTCACTATCTCCATATTTTATTATTTGAAACTTAACGGTCTACGAGAACATTATTAATGTATTAGTTATAATTAGCAGTGGATTCGCTTTCATTCCTAGATCGGCACTTTTACTTTCACAGGCCTTAAGGACTTTCATATGCAGTTGCTTCTGATTTTGAAAAATGGTTAAAGTTTAAAAATAATGTTTTATTAAAAAAAAAAAGAGAATCATGATAATATTTTTTATGACAAATAAAAATGTAAAATAAAGTATGCATTACCTGTAATATTTTGTACTTTTCGTTTTTCCCATTTTCGGGTGCAAATCATTAATTTCCAATACAGAATAATTAAACAATGATCACCTAAGCTACGTTAATTAAAATCAATAACACTATTGTGCATTAAATTCACATTTAGTTCATTACAGGCATTCATAAATACATTTCAATACACAAATTCAGTTTCAAAACCACTGGAGCCTGACTGTATCGAGGTGGTATCCAGTATGCAAGACACTCTATTAAAACTCATGCAAAATCAATTTTAGTGTTTTGACTACATATCGAACGTTACAGCGAGATTAAATGTGTATTGGGTGTAATAAACTTCACTCTGATCGTTGAATTATTAAAAGTCAATAATAATATTATTACCCTTATCATTTCAAATTTCTATTTGACACCTATATTAATATTTGGTGATTAAACTTTAAAATGATTTAATCTGTAAGTTTTGGCAAAATATATTATAATAAACAGATCTCAGTATATTGTGTGAGTACCGTAAATCTTTTTTTTTAATTTCTGTAATATTATTTCTGAGGGAGAAATTAAATTAATATAGTTTTATGTCAACGAACAAGGTTTAGGTTTATAGGATATGAATGGTAATGTAATCCTTTAATACGTCTATTAACTGTTCGGCTCGAAGTGAGAATGATGTGACCGAGTGAAGTTAGGGCTCGAAGTGAGAATGATATGACCGAGTGAAGTAAGGGCTCGAAGTGAGAATGATGTGACCGAGTGAAGTTGGATGTCAACCTGCAGTGTGTCGCCAGTTTCCTTTTTATTTGTTGTTTTGGTTGTTTTCATGCTTTGTTTAAACGTTGGTGGTGATACCATTGTCTAGTTATTAATTCTCTATTATATTACCCGCTTCGGAAAAATTTCGAAACAACAGACTGAACAGTTGTAACACAACTTCATTGCTGTTCAAGATGTACAAAAAGGAAAACCGTCCGAATGAACAATCTAATCAATGAAGAGACATTCTTTGTCTAAATGTACATCCGGTTCATTAGAATTGGTCTCGTTGTTGTTATTACTACTGCTGGTGGACTCTTAGACCCCGAGGGTATCACCAGCACAGTAACATGAACTTCGATTCTGGCATAAAATACGGATATTATTTGATTAAAATTTGCTGTTAAAGAATTTCGGCAATTATTTCAAGTTCAGGAATACATCTCCTTCATGCAAAGATCTGATTCCTTGTCTATATTTGGCTATAATTTAGGTCCTTTTTGGTTTTATCAGCTGTTCAATGTTAGTATTAGGTTTTGGAATAGACCACTTGCACATTAATTGGCGTTTCGCTTTCAAATCTGCAAAATATATCGACCGTAAATAGGTGGGGCAAAATACGTCACAGTTTTTGCTTGTTCACCATAGCGATTCCACAAAACAAATTGTTTCATTCTGCTATTCTATTACAATCACGATGTTATCTTTTAAATCATTGACAATTTCAAAGATTCAGCTGTATTTACGAGATAGAGGAATAGTGGCAAATGGTTATAAACAGAGAGATTTGGCCAGTTTAGCTGAGGCGGTGGAAAAATTGAAGATTCCGTATGATCCCAATTTTCTAGCAGACGACGTCGACCCTACCCTACAAGATCGCCTGAGAAGAGCCGGTTGTAGTTTTTCAGACCCGCTTACCTTAGAAGGGTAATTAAGATAATTTTCCATTCATTTCTATGGCTTTTACCCTCCTCTGCATACTTATTTAAACCGGTTTTTGACCGTTTTTTACTAAGGGGGTCCCAACGCGTGGCTATCCACGTAGAATATGTATGCCCATACTAAACTTGCCATAAAATTAACCAAAATTCGTACCTTTACCTAACTTAAATTTTTTATTAGATCCCTTGTCGTTTGAATGAGTTATACAGTCAAAATAAGTCAGAAAGTCATATTTTCGGCCTTCTTTTAATTTACGGGCTCCCAACCTATATAAAAATATGCTCAACTAAACTTTACCCAAACCCATACCTTACCCTGACAGTAGCCCTAAATATAAAACCTTACTTTAACCTAGAACATCACATATATGCTAACAATATTGACCATAAATGAACCCTAAACCGTAAGTTTTTTTTTCATGATTTACCTAACCCATAACCTGAACATAACACTGTCTTCCCTAGGAGCTAACCCTTAGAACCTATTTTCAACCCTAACCCAAAAGTTAAAAGTACCAATAACCACTGAAAATAGGTTAAACCTAATCCTTACACACAGGGCCATGTACCCCAACCATATATAGCATAGCACTAGTCCAAATAATTATGACGTCTTGGAAGGCTATTTTAATTTTTTTCTGTGACACCTTCCTAAGACAGAAAAAAAATTAAAATAGACTTTCAAGACGTCATAATTATTTGGACTAACAGAGCACCAGTCCAGTCTTTAAACCCTTATATTAGGGAGCTACCATTTGATTTTTTTTTTGGTGGGGGGGGGGGGGGGGGGGGGCTAGGATGAAATTTGAAAAAAATAGGCAGGACAGGAGTTTTGAGTAAAAAAAAAAAGGCAGGATGAGATTATTTGCAAAAAAAAAGGCAGGATGACAATTTATGTAAAAAAAAGTCAGGATAAACAACAAAAAAAAAGGCAGGGCTGAATAGAGTGAAAAATCAAAAAGCAGGACCGAATAGAGGGAAAAATAAAAAAGCAGGACAACATTTTTCATCCTAGCCCCCCCATAAAAATCAAATGGTAGCTCCCTTACCAAACCATACATAGCACATGTTGGTCACATCCCTTAAACTTAACCCTTACCTAACCCAACCATAGCACAACTTGTGCCACAAGTCCAACTCTACCATACATGCCATATCACTAGTCCCATCCATAAAACCAACCTCTGTCTTAACCTTAAAACCTAGTTGTAACCCTAACCATAAATAAACCATATATAACCCTTAAGTACTGGGATCCCTAAAGTAAAAGAAGGGTCATTCTTCCTTACCTGTGTGTCTGAAGCCAATTACTAAAATATATTTTTCTAGCAGTATAATGAAATCATTTTTAAAACTCATATTATTTCAGCATTTTTTCAAAAATATGATTATTCATGTCAGTCCAAAACAATTTTATTAAGGGAGCTACATTTCACTTTGGGTGGGGGGCTAGGCTAGGATGAAATTTGAAAAAAAATAGGCATGACAGAAGTTTTGAGTAAAAAAAAGGCGGGTTGAGGCACTTTGCAAAAAAAAAAAGGCAGATATGACAATTCATGTAAAAAAATAAGGGCAGTACCGTATAGAGTGAAAAATAAAAAAGCAGGACAGAGATTACAATTTTAAAAAAATGCAGGACAAAATTTTTCACCCCACCCCCTTAACTATCAAATGGTAGCTCCCTAAGAAGATACATCCCTACATGTATGCCAACTTCTAAATATTGAAAACTTTTAAGACTTTAAACTTTTTAAAAAATAATAATATGACAATAACTGTTCAATTTTCTATAAACTTTTTCCATTAGAAGTAAATAGACTCAGTTCAAAAGAATATCCATTTATAGCAATTTTACATTATAATTAAAGGGATAGCCCATGGCCCCTAAAATTTAGTCATTCAAAACATGTAGCTATTAACTTTTTTTTATACAATTTTACTTGATCAATAATATACCAAGTATGCTTTAATATAAATATTAACTGCCAAAAACTTAAGAGTTTTAGGGTTTCATGAAATAAAGTCATTGTATGAGTAAACTTTTGAATTGCAAGAATTAAGCGGATATTATCACAATTATCATAATTTTTCCACATTGATTTTCTTTTTATTTCAAGTCCAACAAATTTATGTAAGTATATAGATTAAGATCTACTTAACATTTTGTTGTACATGTACTATAATATATCTTAGAAAATACTTTATGCATTTTCATATGTATAAGTATATATAACTTTCAACTGTCTGAACTGCATGTACTGGCAAGGGCTCATATTCCCAATCAGTATTTTTCACCTTACTAGTATACATGTCTTACTAGAATAATCTGTTAATTTCATACCAGCAATGTATTCTGTAGTGTTAATTTGAAAACCTTTTATTTTTTCAGATATGTTGAAGATTTTTCTGGTGTACCTGACTTTTCCTTGTATGACATTTTCAATTATTTGTTGTTGCACCGTTCAGATTATGATAAAAAGAAGTTGAAAGCTTATAAGAGTGCAGAGGACTACCGCTTGTTTTACGATGGACATGTCCAGGAAATGAAAGTCAACTACTTAAAAGATGACAGCTCAGTTTGTGTTTTTATTGGAAAGGTGAGGCCAACACAGAGGGCAAAGACGTTGACTGGGAAGATGACCTACCAGTGCTGGTTTGTTGTTGAGAAGACTCTAGGTGATGTTAAAGCAGCTTACTGTGAATGTCCAGGAGGGTAAATATAAAAATATTATATTTGACAAATTCTAGACCCACTATAGTTTCTATTGTAATATGAAAATAAGAAGATGTGGTATGATTTCCAATGAAACAACTCTCCACAAGTGACAAAATGACAGGGAAATTAACATCTGTAGATAACCGTACAATCTTCAACAATGAGAAAAACCCATAGGGAATAGTCAGCTATAAAAATTTTGAAATGACAAATGTAAAACAATCCAAAAAAAAAAGCTAATGGTCTGATTTATGTACAAAATAATGAAAGAAAAACAAATATGAAATATTTCAACAAACAATGACCCTTTTATTACAGATTCCTGACTTGGGACATGCACATACACAATGTGGTGGGGTTAAACTAGTTTGTAAGTACATTTGTATGACAGCCTCAAGTGCAGGGTGATGAGGTAATAATTCATTGCTATTAAAGTCAAAACTCAAGGTTGGTTTTCTAGCTTCTGTGTCCAGTATTTGGCAGGTAGAAGTTAACAATTCTGCTGATGTAATTTGATGACTTGCAATCTAAAACACTCATGTTTAGTAAACCGTAAAAATCTATAAAGATATTAGTATTATACAGATCATTTCACAAATGAACATGTATGCATGTACTAACTTTCTCTAAATACAATTTTATTACAGTGCTGATGGAGCTTGTCGTCATGTTGCAGCATGCTTATACGAGTTGGAGGCATTTGAGAAGAAGTCTGTTACTGACGGTCCTTGCCAGTGGAAGAAACGAAAGAGGGAACACGATGAGCCAGTAGAGGTGGAACGAATGAAGATTATCA